GTGCAGGAATAAAGGTAAAGGCATTTTGTAATCATAGGGTTAAATATGTGGAGAAATCTGGTTCACACAAATGGGAGGAGCACCTTTGTAGTCTAAAGTGGATTCTGTAATATGGATAGCCTGTGTCTGTGTTGCTGCCCATAAAAGGCCTTGAAGCCCTAATCTACATTTCCCATGGGCATGTGCTGGAGCCTGGCCTTTGAACACACTTGCAAAGGCAAGAAGATCCTCAGGGGAAAAAAAAAAAAATCACTTCTGTGAAGGTCCGGGGAGGCAGTACAACAGGGTGGGCAGAAAGTGCCTTTGGCAGCAGAACCTAGAAATGGGTTCTAGGACCTTGTCTAACACATAGAGATCTCAGCGTAAGTTCCTCTCAGCCTCAACTTCTTTGCCTATAAACTAGGAAGATTTGTCCTGGCCCTCTAACTCCTTACGGTGTAAAATGGGGTGTTACTGAAGAAGTGGGAAAGGTGGAAGAAGCTAAGTGCCATTATCCCTGAAATAATTCAGGGGCGGTTTGGGTTTTTCTGTTTTGCCTTTGGTCATACCTCCTGCACACTGTCTGCTTCCTACTCTAGGTTTCCTGGGTCCAGCCTGGCCCCTCAAAAGTGGCTGCCCTTCACAGGTTCCCTCCTTTTTCCTTCACACGTTTGCCCCCTTATGCATGTCTTTCATCAGGATCAAAAGCTGTTGGCCACGTTGTCTCCCCCAACTCTAGGCTCATCTGGCTGCTTTCACACTAATCTCTTTCCCACCTGATTCCTGGTAACCCCATGTGACTCGCTGAGGAAGCAACAAGGAAAACTTGAAACAAAACGAAGTCAACTTCAAGAAGGCTCATTATCCAAGAGGTCTGGGACCGATGGGAAATTGCAGATGGAACCCCCTTTTGGGTGCTGTGGGTGTGGTGGTTTTGCCTCACTGAGAAAGCACTGCTCAATTTATCTCCTAAATGATTCCAAATAATGCCAAAGTGCAGACAGTACAGAAGTAACTTGTTGTGGAATATGCTAGGAAAGGAACCCTGGAGTCAGGCCAGAGAACCACAGAATGTCCTGAAAGGACTCTTAAAAAAAGAGTCAAGTGGTTTCTAAAACAGGCAAATCAAAATAATAAACAAAAACAGGCAAATCAAAATAATAAACAAACAGGCAAATCACAAGAATATAATTACCTAGACAGTTTTTTCTTTTTTTTTTTTAATTTTCTTATTTGAGAGAGAGAGCAAGAGAGCACAAGCAGGGGGAGTGGCAGAGGGAGAGGGAGAAGCAGTCTCCCCGCTGAGCAGGGAGCCGGATGCAGGGCTCCATCCCGGGACCCTGAGATCATGACCTGAGCCAAAGGCAGATGCTTAACCGACTGAACCACCCAGGCACCCGGACAGTTTTTTTCTTAAACCAATACACACGGGATAAATGAAAAACATAGCACAAAATGTAAGTCTTCCTATTTCAGGCCCCACTCCCATTTCCCAAAAATAACCCCCATCAACACTTTCTTGTATATACTTCCAAAATTGTTACATACAAATACATCTATAGCCAAAAAACAAAAACCACAAAACAACCAGGGACCACTCTTTTACACCCTATTCTGTATCTTGCTTTTTCAAATGTAACCAAGTATCATGGAGTATTACAGCCTGGTTGCAAGCAACAGAAAATGATCTGCTTGGTTGACCAGCATAATGGAGTTTTATAGAAAAGGTAAGGATTGAAGGGAAGATTGAAGAACCACTAGGTTTGAGAAAGACAGGAACAAGGAAACTTCGCAGGTCTTCGTAGGTAGAAATTCTTAAAAGTCTTGCCCCAAACCTCCAATGTTTCTTCCATCATCACCCTGCTCAAGATTCAAAACCCAGAGGGGAGAAGTTTTTTGTTTTTTTAAGATTATTTATTTATTTGAGAGAGAGAGGGAGGGAGAAACAGCTTGAACAGGGGGAAGAGCACAGGGAGAGGGAGAGAATCTCCAGCAGGCTCCCCGATGAGTGTGGAGCCCGACGTGGGGCTCAATCCCACGACCCTGAGATCATGAGCCAAAACCAACAGACAAGTCAGACGTTAAAATGACTGAGCCACCCAGGCGCCCCCACACCCAGAGGAGAGAAGTTTATAGCATCTCATGCCCCCTCCCACTGGAGAGATGGAAGGAGTTGAAAAGATCTTCCAGAGACCCCTTCAACTTATGTATTGGGAGGACAAACATTTAGATTTGATAACCCTACTCCACTCCAATAATGTACATGATGAAGGAGAGACCAGTCCACAAGAGAAATAGGATACTGTTAGGAAATGGAAATGGAGATCAGCAGGCCAAAAAATAAATACCATTAAGATTTCAGGACGTGAAAACCCACCTCATTGCATATAATTGCATTGTCTTCCATAATTTATTTAACCATGCCCTCGTGATAGACAACTAAAGCAGTCAAGAAAAAAGAAGCCTATGACAACAGGCTAAAAGAATAAGATTCTCGGGGCACCTGGGTGGTTCAGGCGGTTAAGCATCCGACTCTTGGTTTCAGCTCAGGTCATGATCTCAGGGTGGTAAGATCAAGCCTGTGTGGGGCTCTGCGCTCAGCGGGGAGTCTGCTTAAGATTCTCTGCCTCTCCCTCTCCCCCTTCCCCTGCTCTCTCTCCCTCTCTCTAAAATAAATAAAATCTTTAAAAAAAAAAAAAAGGGGCACCTGGGTGGCTCAGTCAGTTGAGCATTTGACTCTTGATTTCAGCCCAGGTCATGATTGCAGGGTTGTGGGATTGAGCCCCGTGTGTGGCTCCGCCCTCAGTGCAGAGTCAGCTTGTTCTTCTCCCTCTGCTCCGCCCCCTGCTCTTGCACACGCACTTTCTCTCTCTCTAAAATAAATAAATAAAGGGCGCCTGGGTGGCTCAGTTGGTTAAGCGACTGCCTTCGGCTCAGGTCATGATCCTGGAGTCCCTGGGTCGAGTCCTGCATCGGGCTCCCTGCTCCGCAGGGAGTCTGCTTCTCCCTCTGACCCTCCCTGCTCTCATGTGCTCTCTCTCTCAAATAAATAAATAAAATGTTTTTAAAAATAAATAAATAAAATGAATAAATAAAATCTTAAAAAAAAATTCTTGAGGCTGTAAACGACCATTCCTCATTCTCACTCACTATCCTCACTTTGAAATAAAAAGTCTTGTATCTTGCCTAGTGCTGGAGCATATGGTCAATGCTCAGTAAACAACATGTATTCAGTTAGTGAATAATTTGGGGTTGAAGAGGTCTCAATGTCTTTTCCTCTGGATCTTTGTAGAATGATGGCTTGGGCACTGAGAATAAGTACTCTCCTAGCACCATCTGCTGGCATTGGAAAACCTTTCCTGAATCATGGCCTCCAAGTCTCTTTCGGCCAGTATTGTTAATAGCCCTGAAATTCTCGGGAAAAAAAAAAAAATAGCCCTGAAATTCCTCCTCTTCTTAATACCTTCAGTACCGCAGAGCTTACCTTTTATCTGTACATAGATACAGTTACAAAATAGTGACTTATTTTTGTTCCTTGTTTACTAAGAAATGTTTTACACTTTGGTGATCCTTGTTTTTGCCTTTTTACAAAGTCAGACACATGTGAGACACTGAGTGAGTGAGAAGGAGCCTCACACCAGTCTTTGACTCCAAAGACTGTTGTCCTTTGACGTTTATTCATCAGGTAATGAGCTCTGTGTATGGCACTATCTTTCTGGTTGGACTAGTTACATAGCACATACCGATATGATGCTTTGAGCTTATTTTTAAAAGCCCCTGTAGGTGCCCACTATTGTGACAGGAGCTGTAGAAGACAAAGAAGTATGAGATAAGTTCCCTGCCTTCGGAGCACCCAATCTAATCAGGGAAGCAGTAAGTCAAACAGTACAGGATAAAGTCTGTGGTGATGCCTGTAAGTGCCCAGTGCCGAGTAATGACACTGGAATACATACTGTGCTATATATATATGGCACTAGACATCCAAAGCCTGGAGACATTTTTGTTTGTCACATCTGGGGTGGGGGTGTTACTGGCATGTAGTTGATAGAAGCCTAGGATGATGCTAAACATATCACGATGCACAGGACGGCCCCCCCTAATAAAGAATTATCTGGCCCCAAAAAGCCAATAGTGCTGCGATTGAGAAACCTGTGCTAGACCTTTAGCAACTGCCATGAGGGAGGCAGGCATGGTCCCTGCCCTCCTAGTATCATGAAGAAATGTTAAAAATATAATAATACTGTGTTGAAGGAATTCAAAGAAAGGAAAGAGACTACTCTAGAGTCTTGTTAAAGTACAATCCATAGACCTGAAACAGGGCATCACTTTGAAGCATGCTAAAAAAGCGGACTATCAACCCCCACCCCCCACCCCCACCCCCCACTGAATGAAAATCTGCATTTTTAACAAGACCCTCAGGTGACTACTATGCCTATTAGTGCTGGAGACAGCGCTGCACTGCAGGTTTCCAGAAGACAGGACGTGGGTTATTTTTCATTGTTTTATGAAGCAGGAAAGAAGGAAGCAAATTCCAGGTGGTGAGAGCTATATGAGGGAAGATTCTGAGATGGCGACGGGGAATTTCTGGTTTTCGATCCAGCACTAATAACTAACATAGTGTTGCCTGCTTACAGTCAGACATTGTGCTTTATACGAAATATTTCACATAGAACTCGTAACACTATTGGGCAGGTCCATTTTAGGGGTAAAGCAAACCAAGGTACAGCGGGGTTAAATAACTTGCTCCGGGACCCACTGACCGAGCAGGGCTGATGGAATCGAAGCTGCATTCTCTCCCACCCGAAGTCCTCCACAAACACCTCCACCCACACGTGAGAGCCAAGGTCGAGGCCCCAGCTCTCTCCACCCAGCGAAAAGCCAGTCACGCCAGTCTTCTTCCCGCACTCGCGCCGCGGAAGGGAAGCCGGAGGAGCGGCGCGCCCTCCACACCGGAAGTCGTAGGCGCAACGTGGGAAGCGTCTTCATAAGCCCCGCCACCGGCGTTAAACGAATATAGCGTAAAGGAAGGGGGCGGGATTTTGAGAATGACGCAGACCCTCAAGTGCTTGGAAGCAGTGCGAAGAACGTTTTGTGCATTGGCAGGAATCTGTGTTAGCGAGACCGCAGCCGTTCACTGCAGCTCGCTGGGCGCTGGCTGTCGGGGAGGTACACCGGGAGCTAGACAACACATCTCTATGGTCAAGTAAACATAGAGCGGGCCTCTCTTCCCCCACGTGGTGGGCCTGCGCATGAGCAGTAGCCGCAGCTTCGGAAACATGGCGGAGGAAGAGTGAGTGTTTGGGCTTTGACTCCCTGGAGTGGGGTCTTGAGTATCTGGTGCCATCCACAGTGTGTATTCCTCAGCGGCGGGAAATAGGCTACTTGTGGACTGAAGGAAGAGACTAGAAAAGACTCCAGGTTACAGAGGGTGGGATGAGGAGGAGGGAGCCAGCCGTAGGGTGCCGTAGGGTTCGGGCTGACGGTCAGACGGAGGGAACCGCCGTCAAGTTCGGGTTACCCCGAGCGGCGAAGAGTGAGTTTCTGGCGACGGGTTGAAGAGTGCCAGACTTGGGTTCGCTCACCCTGACTTAAGTATTGCTCCTGCCGATGGGACTGCACCCGTCCCAACCCGACGGAGTTTTACTAGAATCACGTAGCTGCTAGTGTCTTTAAAAGGCTGTGGCAGTAAACGCTCCATGGAGGCATACGAGGGCCAGTGGCCAAGGGGTTCATGACTTCTTACTGCTTTAGGAAAGGGTGAATGTTAAGGGGTCCATTTTGAGGACTGGAGTCAGAAACCACAGGTTTCAGGGAAGTCTTTCTTTAGGAATTTGAAGAGAGTGATGTTTCTCAGGCCCAGAGATGGATTAGAAATTCATTGAGATTTGTTTTTTAAACATATAGCTGATTGCACTTCTCTCTATCAGGCAAAGAAAAAAAATCCCATTGGTTCCAGAAAATCTCCTGAAAAAGAGGAAGGCTTATCAGGCCCTTAAAGCCACTCAAGCAAAGCAGGCACTTTTGGACAAGAGGGAGGTAATGATGGGGAACCAAGAGAAGGGAATTAGAATGTGTATTTGGTGAGTTATATCTAACGTGTTGAACTAGATTTGGTATTGACAGTCCTTTCCCCATAGATTCTAACAAGTATACGGTTCATGTCTTCCTTTAACAGGTACTTATAAAACACTTTCTGCAGGTAAAATACTGGAGTGGAGTTTGTTAAGGAAAAAGTGGAGTAGAGATTGTACTATTTATTTAGGTTCATACCAAGTTATTTTATAGACCACACATGCTTGTGTACCTGGAAGAATACGTATATATATATATATTTTTTTTTAACATGCCAGACAATTTTTGCTATTTGCTAAACGTTTTTGGAAAATACATTATTTTGGAGTCAGGAAAATGAAACAAGCTCATGCTTATTCTGTACTTTATGATGCTTAACTCAATGTTAGGTTCCATAAACGTGTTGGTAAATGTTGACTAACAGCATGGAAACTAACTTGTTTATTCATCAGAGGCTTTTCCTAAGTGGTTTCTGAGTTTTCACAACTCCACGTTTACTTGAGTGTCTCATTTTTCCCTTATATAGGAGATGTGCTTCCGTTTGCGGAACACAGTGGGAAATACACTCAGTTGATAGTGGCTAATGAATTACTATTGTAGAAATAAAAAATAGAGGCACAAAATGGTGACAATGGTCTGCCTTCTCTGTAGCAGAAGAAAGGAAAACAGCTCAAGTTCAAGCGACTGGAATGGTTTCTACATGACTCCTGGCGGCAGCAACGTGACAGGGTGCGCCTCAGACGACTAGAAGTGAAACCTCGTGGCCTGGAAGTGCCAGATAAACATTCCTTGGCCTTTGTTGTCCGCATCCAAAGGTGGGGAGCTTGCCAGATTCCATAGGCTGGAGCAGACTATTGATTCAGCTTTAGACCCTTTCTAGGGAGATGAACTACAATAGGCTTTAAGCCACTAAGGCAAGTTGTGCTGGGAATTCAGGGTTGAGCACAACATAGTTTTCTTTTTTCTTTTTCTTTTTTAAGATTTTATGTATTTATTTGACAGCGAGAGAGGGAACACAAGCAGGGGGAGTGAGAGAGGGAGAAGCAGGCTTCCCGCCGAGCAGGGAGCCCGATGCAGGGCTCAATCCCAGGACCCTGGGTTCATGACCTGAGCCGAAGGCAGACGCTTAACGACTGAGCCACCCAGGCGCCCCCACAACATAGTATTCATCTTTAAGGTTAAGGGGACTGACGTTAGGCAGACAGACATGAAAATATACCCAGTGCTATGAGGGTCGTCTGCTGCCGGGGCTATACTGGTTCAGGACACTCTCTAAAGAGGAACTGGAAGCTGAGACCTGCACACATGGAAGGAATTCACGAGTGTTGGGGGAAGGCTTTCCAGGCAGAGATGCAGAAAGTCCTGAATTGGGAGAACCAAGGAGTCTTTTGTGTTTTCTTTTTTTAAGATTTTATTTATTTACTTATTTATTTGACAGAGAGAGACAGCATGAGCAGGGGAGAGGGGTAGAGGGAGAAGCAGACTCCCCCACTGAGCAGACAGCCCTACACGGGGCTCAGTCTCAGGACTCTGGGATCATGACCTGAATCCAAGGCAGACGCTTAATGACTGAGCCACCCAGGCGCCCCTCAAGGAGTCTGTCTAGGAACTGAACCAAGGTCAAGTAGATGGAGCATATTCAGTGCTGGAGAGAGTTCATAAAGCTTTTTCCTCATTTAGTTGTACTTTACCCGGTCTATCTGCATATACAGCCGCCTCTTCCTATTTCCTGTAGCCAGTCACCCAAACCAGAAACCTGTGGGCTTTAAATATTTTTGAGCCCTCATTATTAACCTTCCTACCACTTACCGTAATTTCTTTCCTGGACTAGCGCATTAGCTTCCTAACTGGGTTTCCCTGCCTTTGGTGTCACACTTTCAGATCTGTCCTATATGCTCTTCTCAGTGATTGTCAGAAAGAAAGCGGATTGTGTCTCCTTTACCTAAAATCTTTTGGGCTTAGTGCCCACAGGAGCAAGTGCAGCTTCTTTTGCTTGATATGCACAGACCCGCACACACACTCCCCCACCCACCCCACCCCCCCCACACACAGAATCAGGGCCCATGTCTGTGTTCCTGTAGCGTCAGGCATTGCTCCACATCGTGTGAGAGTGATCTGTGTATATACAGCTGCCACCTGCTGACCTGACACTGTCCGTGTCTTGCTCTCTGGCCGCCTTGTAGTGGCAGACATTTCGTAGGTGCTTGCTGGACTGACATAAAGTGGACAAAACCTGACTTCCCTGCTGTTCATTTCAGGATTAATGGGGTGAGTTCACTGGTGCAGAGGACCATGGCAAGGCTTCGCCTGAAGAAGATTTTCAGTGGTGTCTTTTTCAGAGTGACCCCCCAGACCATAAAAACGCTGCGTGTAGTGGAACCTTACGTGACCTGGGGGTGAGTAAGGTTTGTGTGGGTGTGGATTCGTATTAGATTGTATTTGAGCACGGTGAGAACATTAGGATGCACAGGGTGCTGTTCTCCAAGGTAACGAGCTTGTGTTGCTGTGTGTTGAAGAAACATTTTGTTGTGACCGCAGTCACCAGAAATCGGCTGCCAGCCGTGGAACCTTGGAGCACGGGGCAGGTGGAGCAGGAGGTATCCATGCTGCTGCTCACGTACCACGAACAGTACCCCGAAGGGCTCGTTCGCTCGCAGGCTGAGGCTGAGTAAGGGGTAGAAGAGAAATTAATTCTCAGAGTCTTGGAGCAGAGCTAGGGGCTGTGCTTGTGTAAGAGGAGTGTTCCTTCAAACGGGAAAACCCAGCAGAGGCCGGGATTTAATTTCAGACTCTGGCACCATCTTGGGTAGAGGGTCATATTAGGTCAGAGTCCTGAACTGTAAACCAGCCCTTGTTTTATTTTTGCCTGGGAAAGTAAAATTCTTTCTTGCATGGTGAATGTTTATAGCCGTACATTGTAATTTCTAATTACATAGGGCCACTCTGGTTTTCTACCCCCTTCTTCACTTGTGTACTTCCAAGCATCCCGGCTGCAGTGTGATTGGTACGAGATTCCTTGGTGGGAAGAAGGGGTAGTGGGAGAATCTCTCCTCAGGCAGGCCGCGGGACTGAGTGGCCAGTGTCATGCAGTGTGCCAGGGGCTGATAAGGCTGTACCTCATTCGGTCTCACATAGATTTCCAAATCTGAAGTCTGTCCGGGAGCTCATCTTGAAACGTGGACAAGCCAAGGTCAAGAATAAAACCATCCCTTTGACGGACAACACAGTGATTGAGGAGCACCTGGGTGAGTGTTGCCCCTTAGGGGTCAGTTGGGGCAGAAAGCAAGGATCTCTGGTGGTCTTGATGTGGGATCTAGGTCGTATTCTTCTTCTTGGGGTCCCTAGAACCTACCAGAGTGCCCAGCTCTGGCATGTAAGAGCCTCGTAGTTTATACTGGGCCAAATGTTGAATGAAGGAATCTGTACCCTTACGTTTCCCAGGGAAGTATGGTGTTATTTGCTTGGAAGACCTCATTCATGAAATCGCCTTTCCGGGGAAGAATTTCCAGGAGATCTCTGCGTTCTTACGTCCTTTCCATCTCTCAGTGGCCCGTCATGCTACCAAGAATAGAGTGGGCTTCCTCAAGGAAGTGGGCTTACCTGGCTATCGAGGTGAACGCATCAATCAGCTCATTCGGCAGCTGAATTAAACCCAGGTGAGGCTGGAAACTGCCCTGGGGCTGACTTTTGATGGGCCATGCCTTGCCATTCATTTTGCATTTATCAGTATCTGAGAGTAACTCTGGCATTGCGGGGGAGAGGGGAGATGGGTAGCTACAGGTCTAACAGAAATGTGCTTAGGACAGTGAATGCCTGGTTAGGACATGGGGCTATGTGTATTCCAACAGTTATAGGCTAGAAAATGTTGAGTAGCAAAAAAATCCATAGTGCCGTGGTCATTTACCTAGAAATGGGGAGAGAATGTTAAAAACCAATTTCAAAAAGGACGTGAAGATCTAAACCATCTATTTTGTTGAAAGTATCTTAACTTTTTGAAATTGCTTATTATTACTCTGAAGTGCCACCTTTCATTAAACTTCTATTCATGAACTTTTTCTTCCTCGGAATATCTGAAAGCACAGCGCATTGGTGGCATGTGTTTTGTCTTTTGGAATGGTTACCGGTATCTTCAAAGATGATTATTTTCTCTTGTATCTTCAGAAACTAGAGAGAGGGTCAAGGAAAAGATGATGATGCTCCTGGCAAGCACTTGTCATCACAGCCCAGTTCCAAGGGAAAGTTCCAGTGTGTTTTCCACATTGGCTGCCCCTACCTCCTCTGAAGTCAGCGGAGGACTCCTGCCACGGAAGAGGGAGTCCTGCTGTGTCACATCGTCTATCTTGGGGTTTAAAGTTGGTGAACGAATACCCAAGCATGAATACAAGACAGCAGTGGACCAAGCTCAGGGACGTACTTGAACCTGGGGGCTCCAGGGGCCTTGTTTTGGAAGGAACTTGAAATATAATTACAAAGAAGAGCACAAAAACAGTGCTCAGTTGTCTTTGCCGTGAGTCCATGTTCTCACTCTTCAGTGACAGCTTTGCAAGTTCTCAGACTTGGCTGGCGCTGATGTGTATCTGGTGGCTTCCTTAGCCTAGCCTGCGATTGGCTTAGTCCTTTTCTTGAGCTCGGGATCTTAACTTACTCTTGGCTCTGTGAGAAGGGAAGGACCCTTTTCCCAGGAAAATACACTCAAATTTTTGCTTGGAAGTTTCTGTGTTCATAGGCTTTTCTTAGGGACTCATGTACCTTATGTGAGGAAGTCCTGCACTACCTGGATTGGTCACCTGGGCCCTGACCTTGTTAGTCTCCTCTGGTCCCTTATCCTTTGGAAGACCAAAGTTTACCAAGATAGCTTTTTCCCTTGGAGCCAATTGGGTGTTTCCTGTTAGGAACGGAGTGGTAGATTCCTGAGTCCCCTGTACCATCTGGGAAATGCCCACCATTTATTTCTGCTGGGCTTCAGGATGGGATTTTCTTGGTTTGGCATGGATGAAATTAGTACTGTTAGGTCTTTTTAGGCTCCATGAAGGCTTAATTGGACCCTCTCCTCACATAGTCTATCCTCCAAAAGTATTGCTGTCTACCCCACTGGTAACAATGTTAGTAGACCAACACTGGGGCTTCCAGGGACCTGAGACCTAAAAAGGGATCTGATCCTGCTTGTGTTTATCATCTGTGTCCACGTCCTAGGTGGGCCTTCCTCTGCTCCTGTCACTATGTTGCCTCAGTTGCCATCTGAGTAGTTGGTGAGGATGTGCCAGGTACAGGTTAAGACTTGAAAACATGCTTAACCGTTGCACGCCCTGGTCCCTTAAGCTCAGCTCTGCAGCACTTCTAGCTCGTGGGGCCCTCAAACATAGCTGTGAGGTCGAGTTAGAAGTAGAACAATGCCTTACAATGTGCCAGGTTGTGAGGTAATTAATTAGGTTGGTTGGCTTAAGAGTTCACCTGCCAGGAATAGATGTTAGAGCTTACACTTAAACTTTAAAGCATTGTGAAATCGAATTACTTGAAAATGACGTATCAGAAAGCCATGGGAAAAGAGCATTTGTGAGTGCCTAACTAAGCCCAGGGTTTCTATTGTGGATCTGTTTTATACTAAATACAGGAATAATGTTCCCATTCTTGCCTGCAGAATGGGGCTATCTAGGCTAACCTGTGTGCCTAACTCAACACAGTTGTTCAAAGGATTAAGCAAAAGAACAGTTTTTAACTTAGAATTTAATGGAAATAAATAAGTTATAAAAATTAATGTTCTGCTTTATCGTGTACTGTGGTGCACCATTCCCTAAACAAGTTGTGGACTTTTACCATTTCTGGGAAAAACGAGTTCTTATCGTATGATCTGTAGATGTGTATTTATGTGAATTGTTCATGGCCATCAATGTATATTCCTGTCAACACATACCATATGTATGTGGAAAACAGAAACCTCAGTTTCAGGAAGCAAGAGTAGGGGCAATGAGCCACGTGGCCTATTTAAAGAGACAAACTTAAGGGGCGCCTGGGTGGCTTAGTTGGTTAAGCGACTGCCTTCTGCTCAGGTCATGATCCTGGGGTCCTGGGATAGCCCCATATCAGGCTCCCTGCTCCGCAGGAAGCCTGCTTCTCCCTCTCCCACTCCCCCTGCTTGTGTTCCCCCTCACGCTGTCTCCCTCTCTCTCTCTGTCAATTAAATAAATAAATAAAATCTTTAAAAAAAAAAAGAGAGACAAACTTAAAGTGGTTGTAGGAGCTTTTCCTCTGTTCTAAAACTTAAAGCCTGACCCAACTAGTTCCCAGAGATTTTGTTGTTGGCTTTTTTAATGCTTTGGGATTTTCCTGGTTTAATGTGACTCTGAAGTCATTCTGGGGCCCAGTGTAATCATCAGACTGTGTATGATTAGCTGTTGATCTGGAGAGTGGCTAAAATCAACACCACTTTGGACCCCAAATTCATTTCCACAACCACCAGAATAAGCTGAACCGGGGAGATAAACACTGACGTTCTCATACATTACTAACGAAATTATTCCCAGTGGGTTGGATACCGTTAGTGTGTCCTCAGTAGTATTTTGAAAACGAAAACACATTGAATCTCTGTAAAGGATGAGGTTTGTCAAATATCTATAAGGACTGAAACAGGATTAGAAAAGACATTTTTTTAATGAGGACTATGGTCCAGAAACACGGATACAAGATAACCCTGACGACGCTCCCAGGAGGCTTAAGTCCAGCTGAGACCCGTCGGGGCAAATGCACAAAAGATGAATAACGGTGGCCAGTATCCGGGGTGCGAGTTGATGCAGGACACAGTCACGCCTTCCAGGTCTAAGAGGCAAAGGACCTCGAGCCTCAGGAACCCACTCCGTGCCATCAGGAAGGCGCAGTTCCTGCCTCCGCCGCGCGGGGCCCCTCCACGCGGTTCTTCCACCGGTACCCGAGGGTCGACGGCATCTAGGGCCCCGGTTCTAGGGCGGCGGCGCGGGGGCCTCTGCCGATC